TAAAGCACTTTACCTTGCCATATTTGTCACACTAACGAACTGCAAAAAAAACAAAAAAAACCGCAACGTACGTCAAGTTTTAAGCAACAACAAAATTGTCACTGTTTAACCGAAGTTGCTAAAGATTCAGTTAACTAAGCTACTCTGCGCCTCGGAATAATATTTACTCCCCCCCTAAAAGAAATATAAGAGCGCCTCAAAATAATATTTACTACCCTCGTAGACGCTCTTATATTTCTTTACAGAGGGAGTACTTAGATAGAGAGAGTATATATGAGGGACCTCACAACCTTTTTCTTCTGTTGAAAAACTCATCTTTTTTTTTGATGGTATGTTGAAAAACTCATCTTATATAGTACACATCAGGAACTAAACTAGACACTGAGCACTGCACATTTGTACCGAACACCCTGGCTCTCATCTCACGAGGGCGGCACTGGCTTTTACTCCAAGTCACATAAATATTGACCGGATAACATATCTTGGTTGTTTGGATGCTGGGTGTGCAGTGTTCACTTACGACCCGCCGAACGCGACGAGCACGCGCACAGCGTGTACATGATGCGGAACCTGGCCGACTACCAGTCCTGCAACCTCAAGACGGCCAAGCTGGTGGCCGGCGTGACGGAGGGCGCCGGCGCGGGCTTCGAGTTCGTCCTCAAGAAGCGCAAGATGCACTACTTCGTCTGCGGCGAGCGCCAAGGCCTCCACTGCACCGCCGGCCAGATGAAGTTCATCGTCAAGCCCAAGAGCTCCGTCTGCCGTGACTGACCGCCCGCCCCCTCCTCGCCGGCTATCCATGGCGTCCACGGCCTTCGCCGCCGTCTTCTTCTTCTTAATCATTTGTTATACTTGCTGCTTGTAAGTTATCACAATTGTTGCATTCATATGTGTCGTGTGGTGTAAACTGTGTTGCGTGATACGCTATTTATGCATGACTCGGTGCTTGAATAAAGTAGGGAGTGCGTGTGTGTGTGTGTGTGTGTGTGTGTGAACTGTGGCGTGTGTTGCTACAAATTAGTGGAGGATGTAATGAGAATGAGGGGCTGTTAGTCCAGGAGTAGCCGGTGTGTCAATCTCTCATTTCTACTCCTAAAAAGGCCCTCTGTTCTAGTTTCAACTGAACATTTGGCTTGAAGTTGCTGTAACAAATAAAGTGATGTCAAAAGAGAACATTTGGCTTGAAGCCTTTCATGAGAGTTCGAGTTCTGAAATGAATAGTAACATGAAGCCAACCAAGGAAAATTTATCCATCTTACACATAATTATCTGCCTCATAACCGGCATTTACAACAAAAACAAAAACATGTACTGAAGCAAAAAACTACAATCATATATATGGATGAGAACATTTTGGCTGAAGAGTGCAGAGAATGATAGCACAAGAACATTTAGCACGAGTGAGATACAGTGGATGCAATTCATAACATTGGTTTCGGTGATCTGAACATCGGTGAACAGCAAGTCAGCTAAATGTCTTCAAGAATAGTAGAAAAAACGCACCAACGAATACGGGGAATGAGCACCAGTCTTCCACATGGTTTTTGCATCTTCGGTCTCCTCGGCCAGAGATGATGCAAATTATTTTTACTACGGGCACGAAAACATCAAAGTAGTCAATGTCCTGTGCCCACCCTCAAATGCCCCCCTCCCCAAATCAGAATGAATGGTTGTGGATGTATCGCAAATTGGCTCAGGTTGCCGTCCTTGTCCAAGTTTGATTGTACGCAAGGTCCTGTTGCAGATCAAACGACCCTTTTGAGTTATTTCCTGGACTGCATCTTGTTCGCCATTTGGGGTCAAGCCTGATCATCTTATGTGAAAGTGATCCCTTCAATGTGCCATCACTCCGTTTTCGAGCGATCTTCATACCTGATTTGTATCCTACTTCAGGTAAAAAATCGGCCAAAGTAACCCATGCTGCACTGAGGTAACTTGTTCACCCTCCCGTAATTAAGACATCCAGAAGCTCAACAGATCTCCTAAGTTTTCTGTCCCGGCACACAGCCTCAATCAGCTTTGCCCAACAACTAGCCTCTGGCATGAACCCAAATTTGGCCAATCCATACAATGCAGCTGTCGCATCTGCCACTCGCCCAACATCGCACAGACCGATCAAAAGTTTGTTTGAGGCTGCATAGTGCGGCAAAAACCCTCTTCTGAGCATTAATCCCAGCAAGCCAACGGCCTTCTCCATATCTCCACTTGAGCACAGAGTATTCATCACAATCCGATAGCTTGCGACGTTCAACTGAACTCCTTCCTCTGGCAACCTCCCAAGCAAGTCCATCACTTCTGCCATCCGCCCATCTTTGCACAGCCCTTCAAGCAGCAGATTGTATGTGACAACATCAGCCTTGCATCCCTTCTCCCTCATCTCCATCAGAAGATTGATCCCCTCATCGACAGTCCCATGTCTACAAAGGCACCCGATCAATGCCGTGTAGCTGACGGCGTCTGGTTCCACCCCAGCAGTCCTCATCTCCTCGAACACCAGCTTTGCATCCTCCACTTCCCCTTTCTTGCAGTGTCCATTTATAAGAGTTGCGTAGTTGAAAGCATTTGGCTCACACTCATTCTTCCTCATAAATCCAAAGATTGTCCGTGCCTTCTCCACCTGCCCCAGACGGCAGAATCCGTCGATGATCAGATTGTATGTCAGCTGGTCCGGCACGATGTGGTCTTTCTCGATCATCCCCTCGAATAGCTCAAACGCTTCCTTCATCTTACCAGCACGACAGAGCCCACCCAACAATGTCGAATAGGTGACCAGGTTTGGCCTCACATCGCCGCAGGTGTACTCACGCATTTCATCGAGCACCCTGAAGGCGGTCTCGGAGTCGCCGTTCTTGATGTAGTGCTTGATGAGGATGTTGTAGACGCAGGTGTTGGGAGCGGGGAGGTACTTGTTCCGGGGGTCGCGCAGGTCGGCTATGAGGTCGGCGAGGACGTCGGGGCAGCGGGAGGAGACGAGTCGGTCGAGGCAGACGGCGAGGGCCTTGTGCGAGACGCGGCGGCGGTGGAGGAGCGACGGCAGGAGGCGGAGGAGCGCGAGGGCGTGGTCGGGCGGGAGGAGGCGGAGGAGCGGCAGGAGGTGCGGCTCGAGGAAGCGGCAGGGCGCGGAGGCGGCGCGGCGGAGGACTGCGGTGGTGGCGGACGGG